CTGTTTCTTGCTTTGCTTCCTTCTCTGCAGCTGGCTGTGTGGCTGTGTGGCTGTGTGGCTGGGTGGCTGGGTGGCTGGCCCCTGACATTCTTCTCTCCTCCTTTTCTCACTCCTGCTCCTAGGTCTTCTTTTCTCTCAAGCCTAGATTTATCTTCCTATTTATTCTCTCTGCCTGGCAGCCCAGCTTATCCTTTCTCATGCATAGCTATTGGCTGTTCAGCTCAGCAGGCAAAGTAACACAGCTTCACAGAGTTAAACAAATGTAACAAACATAAAAGAATACAACACATCTTTGCATCAGTAAACAAATAAGCCACAGCACAAGAATGTAGCACATCTTAAACTATTATTGCATAACATTATTGCACGACATCCACCGAGCTTAAGATGGAAGGGAACACGACGGGGTTTATTGCCTTACATTCTCCTTTCTGTGTTTTCATATAAATAAGGATGTCCCTTTATCTAGACAGTGAAAGAGGACAGAGGATCTCCTCCTCCCTTTCTCTCACATGAAGATCTCATGGCCTGTGTCAGGGGTGATCTTCCTCTTTGTGCTTTTTTTTTTTGTTTTTCTCAGATGTCAACATGTCTTATCTTGGGGTAGAATGTCCTACATCTCATCACACTGCTTCACAAAGACCGCATTATGACTTGAATGGCTAATGGATATTGAGAATAGATAGACAGGACCCTTATATGACTTATCCATGAACAGCCAGTAAGACTTTGTGGCAGACCAGGAAAGAAGCAGATTCTCACTTAGTGACTCTCCACTGACTGCTCTATCATCTCCATCCTTGTTAGACCTGGAGAAGTACAAACTTATGATCATATAATGACTTCTCCTACCTTCACCTGTACACCTGGCAGACCTACTGTGACTTCCAAGTAACTGAGGGTTTTTTTACTAAGGACTGGTGGATCCAGTAGCTTGAGGTACCTACACAAGCAAGCTTGATGCTGGTAGTGCTACTAGCTTCTTAAGTCAGAGCTAAGTTTGTTGTCTTGTGATCTGCAAGAATGATGAGTGTCTGAGATCCAGTCTCAAAGCATAAAACAAAGCAAAAACCCAACTTGGCAGTCGGTAGTAGGTGAATCCACTCTTAAAGCAGTTATGTTTGGAATTTGCAATACAGTATCTTTTCTCTGACCTTCGTGTAATAAAGCCAAGGCCCTGAACAGTTTCCTCAAGGGCAAACATTCAAAGTCATCGTCTTTGCTCTCCCTCACTGTCTCTGAAAGTTGAAAGTACATGTGCCACTGCCTCATGTCAAAAAGATGAGAAGTTTCTTAGTTTAAGGAGTGCCAATGGACAAGCCCTGATGAAGACTCACTTTGGCTATTGCTTCACACCACAACTTTACATTAGCACACGCCAGCCTCAGAAAGCCTTCCAATTGTTGTTATGTGGACTCTGACTTCAGCTCTTATTGGACTTTCTTTTCCATTGCAATAGTAATCCTTAAATTAAATCTCTCCTCATTACTTTGATGTCCTCCTTGTTGACCTCTAGCAGTAATAAAATTATGGAAATCAAACAATTTTGTACTAATTTGGTCACTTTGTGTTAACCTGTGAATTGAAAGAGAGAAAGAGAAAAAATTCCAGACATTTAGCCTTCTGTTTCTGTCTTAGATTGTCCTAAACTATCATTTGCATTCTAAGAGCCCACAAGAACAAAGCCAGTGCAGCAGAAAGCAATTCCATGTCTAAAAGACAGAGGAGACTTTGTTCCAATCTCTTGTTCTGGTTTTAAAGTTCTTATTGTCTGAGTATCCATGTCTTTTTCTCCTTGTTTGAAAATTGTAGAACTAAAACACGCTTATAGAACCCTTAGAGATCTGAGATTAAATGAAAAAGCCTATGTGCTATGCTGTACTAAGGCACCATAATTACCAATAAATATTTGCTCCCATATATTTTTACTTCATGATAAGCCTCAGCGAGATTCACCTGCTTTCTGTTGCTGGGATAATATGCTTTTGATACTTGCCTGTGGTTTCCTCCATCAGGCAATGAGTTTCTTTGTGGATCACCTTTCCGCAAGCATCCAGTTCCTCCAGCTGTGAAGTAGTTAATGTGTGTTTACAGAATGCACACATGCACAGATGTGTGCATGCAAGCAGAATACGAACAGACCAATGGTGAGCTCAAGGTACCAAAACTGCTTAACTGTTTACACAGGACACATCTACTAATCATGCCAACCCACATCAATTAATCATGCCAACTTGGTTCAGAGTGTAACTGAAGTCGTAGCATTGATTTCAAACAACAGCCATGCACTACGACGTTTCAGATTTCTTCAGAATTTACAGCCTCAAAAAAAGGATCTAGAGGGAAAAAAAATGGGAAATTACTCCAACGTGATTTTCATTTCCTGCTTTGGGCACTGGCTAGACTACTTATACTGAGTTCCATAAACCTCAGCAAAGAGCTGTTTCAGGGTTCTGTTTAGAGAGCCTCAAAACGACAGTTATCTTACTTGGAAAGAACATTCAAGTGCTCTGCCTACCCAAGGCCCTACAAAACAATGGAATATCAAGAGACTCTGGATGAAGATGGGTATACTCAATTAGACTTCAGGACTCGAGGCATCCTAAAAAGACCTGTGGAGTCAGAGAAAGGTATTCATTTTCATTTTCTCTCTGCTTATAGAACCTTCATCCTTATCAACAATAGTAGAGACCTGGGCAGACTCTTGATTTGTAGGACTTTCTAGTGAAATATATATATGTATATGTACATACATGTATATAGATATATATATTGGAAGAGTCATCACAGATTCCTTGGATGTTCACAAAACCTCTTTTTGGAAACTACCCAATGACTTCCACAGATTGTTTTTGATTTGTGGCGATAACCAGGACTGCTCCACTCTGGAGTCACAGATGCTTCATCAGTGGGAAGTGGGGTTGGTAACATGAGTGATAGGCGAAGATGAAGGAATTTTAATGAGTTACTTGCTGCTTGTGAGGGGGCCAAGAAACTCAAAATAGTGTAAATGAACCTGTACAATCTTACTATATATAGTGCCAAAGGGACAGGGTATGAAATCGTAGAGGATTCCATGGAAAATAAAAATGAATACATCTTTGGTGAAACCCAAAGAGTAGCCAGGAGTCACAGAGTTTTAAATCCCAAATCTGATATACTTTTGTGGGAAGAGACTAATTTGAAATTTTCAAAACTTGTTGCTGGTATACCAGGGATGGAAAACATATGCTAGAATAAAATGTCTAATTGGCAGGACATAGGAGATTCTTAAAATGGAAACAGTGCAAGATATACAGAATGTTAAAGGATCTCTCTCCTCACAGGGTAGGTGCTTTACTCTCTTTCTGGATCTCCTATTGGTCATCTCTGTGACTTGGGCTTCTGGTGTTGGTGTGGTAAGCTTAATACAAAATCAGTTCAGCGCTATCATTAAGGAAAAGATGACTCATGGGTTCTGACATTACAATTTGCTTTCTTCTGCTTTTTTGGCATTCACATTATGCAATTATTTTCTTCTTATAACCACTTACACAACCCCTTCCTTGTGCAATTAGCTTGTAAGATGGTAGAAAACTGAGTGAGGGAAGGGGCAAGGCTTTTGCTTGTGCTGTGTAAAGTACAAAGTGCTCCCAGTTGCTGGAAAGGGTGTTTCTATGCATTTTTAGATCACTTACTTCCAACAACAGTATTTTACGGTGTTACTGATCCAGTATCAAAAATGGAAACTTAAAAAATAAATAAATAAAAAGAAGGGGGTGGAGAAAGTAGTTTGTCCAAATGATGCACCAAATAAATAAAAAAGGAAACCTACCCTTAATAACTAGTTCTGTTTCTCCTACAGAAAACTGCTCACCCTATGAACAAGTAGGATTTCAGGGAATGAATAACACCCAGACCTATAGACTAGCATGTGAACCTGCAATTGAGGGGTATGCAGATGGCAAGGCATAGCCAGGAGTCACAGGGTTTTAAGTCCCAAATATGATATACTTTTGTGGGAAGAGACTCATTTGAATTTTTAAAAACTAGTTGTTGGTATATCAGTGATGGAAAGCATATGCTAGAAGAAAATGTCCCATTAGCAGGAGACAGATCTTAAAATGGAAATAGCACAAAATACGCAGGATGGGAAAGGGTGATAACACAGCTGAAGCAATTGAAGAAGAGCCATGCTGAAGCTGGGGACAATGGAGACTCGTACTACAAGACTAGACTCTCAGGACACTGACTCTAGTGGCTGATGACCCCTTTAGAACTGTCCCCACTTCAGTATGCTGGGCAACTAAAGGCTTCCACAGACTTTTCTTATTTTCTTTCTCATCTCTCTGGCTTTCAGGAAGCCGGTCTTCATCTCTCCCTTGGCGTCCCATTGCGGTGGCCTTGGGAATCCTGTGTTTGGTCGCACTAGTGGTTGCTGTAGTCCTGGGAGTCCTAGGTGAGTATGGATGAGGGAGATTAATGACAGTCACAGAGAATTAATCTGTGCATCAATCCCATTGAGTTCATGATATTAATTTCCATTTCACTTATAGGAGAATGGAGAGATTGGAAGATTGACTATTCCATTGCTATAAATTAGTTAGCGGTGGGATCATGAGTAGAAATGTAGACAATCTGCTTAATAAAACATATATTCTTAGCTATATTGCTCTACTATTCTACATGAATATCTTACTTTTTTAAAAGAGGAATTTGTAAGGTAAGTTAGTGGAGGGGAACTTACAGAGCTGGAGAAGGAAACAAAATATGCTGTTATCTTTCCTAGGGCATAGCTATATTAAAGGAGTTGTGTGTAATTTTATGAACCTTTGGACACATGGAAATTATCTCACAGATGATCTTTACTAAGAAAAAATCTTGACTCTTCCAAGTATTGCCTGAGGCACTTAAAACATACTAAGCAGATATTTTGTGATTGACGAATAGATCTCTTTAGGTTTCTATATCTCATGAATCCTGTGTCAATACAATTATATGATCTTTTCAAAGAGTCTTCATTGCTCATAATTAGTCAAATGCTTATTAATGTGTGTACAAACACACTCCATTTATTACAAGCTGGGCAATCCTCAAAGAGCTGCCCTTTTTAAATAATAGGAGAAAGCAGAAAGGATATTATTGTCCTTGAATTATTATTATTTCAAATTTTTATGATTTCAGCTAAGTCTGTGTCATTTTCTTCTTGCTTCCTTCTTCACAAAAGTTATTCCTTTCCACACATCTGATCAATCATCCATGTATCAACCATCAGACTCTGTCTTTTTCATCAGCAACGTAGCATTGATTTACCATTAATCATAGATATTCCCTATTAGCTTTCATAAAATATGGGGGCTGGAATTTCAATTCTCAAACAGAAGAATGACTTTCTTTTTTCTGTCACTATTATTGTTCCTGAAATATGAAGCATTTTGGAGATTCAATTCAGGGAGAAATCCAGAAGAAAAGGAAAACTTCCCATCGAGAAATAAAGAGAACCACAAACCCACAAAATCATCTTTAGATGAGAAGGTGGCTCCCTCCAAGGCATCCCAGACTACAGGCAAGGGCAGAACCTTATAAAGGAGCCATGGGATCCTGGATTTCAGAGGTCCATTTCCTGGTGCTGAGGCATGGGGTGGGGAAGATGTTTACGTCTAATAACAGTGTATTCTAGGCAAACATGCCTAGCAGTATTTCCTTAGCATAACATATCCTGTCAGACAAATGACAAAGTGATATCACAAGTCTACAGCTCTTGCCAACAGCATCAGTTACTGTGCTTTTCTCTGACTGTGTGTGGAGACCTACCGGATATGATATAATTGTAAGCAAAAGAAGAGGCAGTGTTCAGTTCCTGTAGGGAACTGATATTTTTACAGTGATATTGTTAGAATAAGATAGATGTAAGGGAAAAGGAATGTCAGGGGAAAAGTGGGGAAGTTGACCCTGCAGACAAGAGAGTAAACATGAGCAAGAATATGCAGAAGAAATGAACCTGATGCAGACACCACTGTAAACTCTGGTTAATCGCATTCAATCGTAGCATTTAATTGATTTTGTGACAATTTTTCTACACTCTGTGTTTCTGATTGGACTGTAATTGACTGACAATATTTTCCCTTCACTATTCCATCTCTGAACTTAACCTACCCACTGCTTTTAGCTAATGAAACATAAGAGTCTTGGAAATATAAATAGTTACATTTATGCCTTTCCATAAGATGAATCAAGTGAACTGGAGTTAATGTGTGTAGCAATTGATTTTGAGAGTGTTTGCTTTAGGGAGGGCAGTAGAGAAAGCCAGTCTGTAATTAAATTTGAAGTAATGGAAGCCTAGTTGTCTATTTAAATACAGTAATTACTCACCTGATTTTAAATTGCAATTTTATATGTGTATGAGTGTTTTGCTTTCAGGTTTGTCTGTATACCACTTGAATGCCTGGTAACCTCAGAGGCCAGAAGAGTGTGTCAGATCCCCTGGAACTGGAGTTGTATAAGTTGTGCTAGGAATCAAACTCAGGTCCTCTGGAAGAGCTGCCAGTATTCATAAAAACAGAACCAACTCTACAACCCCTAATTTTAATTTTTAATGAACAAATGGATTTTAATATGTTCTGTAAAAATTGTCTAATTTGAGTTAAAAATTAAATATGTGTTAATGAAATATACACTAATGGAAATTTATTATTAGGTATTCATGAAAATCACTAAAAGAATCAGTTGGAACACAGTGGACTTCATGATATTATTTTTTCTTTCCAGGACTTTATTCTGGGCCTTGCCCTCCTAATTGGATCATACATGAGAAGAGCTGTTATCTGTTTAAGACGTCACAAAATTCCTGGGCTGGAAGTAAGAGATACTGCTCCCAGCTAGGTGCTCATCTACTGAAGATAGACAATTCAGAAGAATTTGTAAGCCCAAACTTCTGTTATAATTACCTGTGATCTGTGTTAAGCAGAACAAAAGAGATTCTTGGACTAACAAAGTTATTATCAATGTTCTATGTAACTACAAAATTATGCAGTAGGCATGTAAAGTATGTAATACATTATTATATTTTAATTAATTAATTTGAAAAGGTATCAAATTTTACTTTAAAATAACAATTTCAGGACTTGCAAGCTAGCAGTTGCCACCAAACTTGATCTGAGTTTGATCCTCAGAACCTATACAACGGAAGGGGAGAAACAACTTCCACAAATTGCCCTCTGACCTTCATGTGAGCACTGTGGCATGCCACACAGCACAAATGCACAAAACAAATAAGTAAATGTAAAAATATTAAAACAAATAATTTGAAACAAACTTTATGATTGAATGTAGTGGTAAGGGCTCTTAATTTTTATACATTTGCACTTCCGTTTTCAAAGTTGAGAAAATGCCCACTTGTCATTTTAGCTATCAAAAAGAAATCAACAATGACTATATATTTATGAATTGTTTGTTCTTTGCAAAATACTAAGAAGGCAGAGGTAGTTTTTGTCTTTGGGGTTTTTTTGTTGCTGTTGTTTTATTGTGGTTTTTTTGTTTTATTTTTAATTTTGAGACATAGTTTCTATTTTAGCCCAGACAGACTTGGAATTCACTGTGTAGCCAACACTAACCTCAAATTCCTTCTAAGTGGCAAAGAGTTTTAAAAACTGACCCTCCTATATATAGTTGAAAAGAGAAACAATAATTGTTAATAGTTGAATATCATATATTAATAATAAATAACCTGAGAGTTGAGAGGTGTCTCTGTTAACAAGAAATTGTGTAGAAACGGGAGGACATACCATGCCTACTGTAGAAACAGGAAAATATACCATGCCTGCTGTAGAAACAGGAGGATATACCATGCCTGTTGCAGAAACAGGAGGACTTACCATGTCTGTTGACAGAAGAGTTGGATTCAAATAATCTGTGAGAAGGAGCAACAGAAAGCTTCCCACAAAACATTCAAATATGTACACTCTATCTTCACTCCTCCACTTTTTTCAGTCTGTAATGCTCTACCAAATAGTTGCAGTTCTTCTTAAAGTCAGTGAAAGAAGGAATATAGCCAAGAAGGAGAATAATATTAGAAATCCACCTGGCTTCTGACATCAACCTGAAACTGGCAAAGAATCATCTCATTTTTGTGTCCAATTCAAGTCTTCATTGAAACCTGGATTATTTATTCATAAAGCATGCTTTGCATTTTGGGGGATGCAAATCTGTGGTGGAATGCCTACCTGGCACCTGCCAGGGTCTGAGCCTCACGCCCAGCACTGTGTTTCTTGGCAAAGCTAGTATGAATTTATATTTGCAACACATGCAAAAACTAGTTGCCTATTTTCCATGAAATTGCCAGGGAGCTAGACTTCATTGGATTTTGTGTGGCTTGTTGAATGGGGCAGAATATTGATCTAATAAGCCTCTTTTTCTCCTTTGGTTTGTATGAGCACTTGCATGTGTGATGTATGTGTAGGTGTATGTGCATATGTGTGTTGGTGTGTGTGCCTATGTGTGTTGGTGTGTGTGTGTGTGTGTGTGTGTGTGTGTGTGTGTGTGTGTGTACTGAACCTGGAGAGCTAGGTTCACAACCAGCTAGCCTCAGGAGTTAAAGGCATGGATATACCTGGTTTTTAACATGGATATTGGAAATTCAAACCTAGATCCTTGTGTATTTTCAGCAAACACTTACCTGCTGAACCATCTCCTTAGCTCACATTCTTTACTGACATTATGAATCTATTCTTGATGGGTAAATAGACAGTGGCTCTAAAATGAGGGAGTGCATCTCTCCAGACATTTAAATGATCGTCATAGATTGACAGACCTCTCTAGATTGTCATCTTACATTGTTACATCCTTCTTTAAAGGGATTCATTTGTCTCTGAATGCCTGCAGCATTGTCTTTGGTTTCCCACTGATGTGTTGTATTTTTGTTTTACTGCAGGAGTTCATTGAAAGCCAAACGTCTTCTCACCATATTAATGCATTTTGGATAGGTCTTTCCCGGAAACAGACTGAAGGGCCCTGGCTCTGGGAGGATGGCTCCCCATTCATTCCCAACTCGTAAGTTCCTGTAGAGGCACGTGGAAGTCTGCAGTTAATAACCTGCTTCCCTGTCACACGTGAGGAAAAGGACAAGTCATGGTGGAGGGAGAGAGGGAGAAAGGGCGCTAGGGATGAAAAGAAGGGGGTAGAAGAAGGTTGTAGAGGATGCTCACCTGACGCTGCTGACTCAGGAGTTCCCTCAGCTTTGGGTCCACGTGAGGAGAGGCCCTACTGTTCACTGCAGCCTTGTGACTGAGAACATGCATGGGCTTCGAGGTCAGACCTCACTCTGAGGTAGTGACTCACCTACTCATCAGACATGTGACATTAGACGAATGTCTTTCTAGTGAGATATCCACTCCGCCCGCAGCTGTTGCACTGACCACGCCCATTTAGGTGTGGTCACAGGTGCAGATGTGACGGGGAAGGCTAGGTCTGGGATCCTGGACCCCAGCTTGCTCTCTGTTCTGGTCTGGTCTTGGAGAGCAGCCTGGGTGTGGATCCTCGGAGCAGAAAATTGCGGGTTATTGGTTTCTTATGTAAGTGAGTTCTCCTCGCATGAAATTAACCTATATTTAACCAAGCCCAGTGTTTCTTCATCTGTGCTTCTACCTCTCTGAACTTCATGAATGCCATTTTCTTCATCCAAAACTGAGGATAGAAAAAGTAGCTCTCCCTTAGAATGGTGACATAAAGGGCATGGAAACAAAATCATTAGCGTAAGTGTTTTGCACACAGTCAATGTGAAATGACAGATCTTACGATGTAATTTTAAATGTATCTTTCTTAAATTTGTGTTATTACCAATTTCTTCATTGTGCACTGCATTGTGTCTTTGCAATTTCTTTTCATCTGCTCCTTAATATTTGTAAATATGAAATTATGTCCCCCTTCCAATGTATACGCAGGCATTTCCCATTCTTTTTCTCATTAATATTAATATATATTTGATTCTATTATTATTTTTAAAGATATTTTAATTTTATTGATGTTCCCTTTTCTCTTTTATCACTTCTTTGGTTAATACCAATTCTCATATTTATTATTGCCTTCCATCTAATTTCTTTGTACCTAATTGAATTCTCTAACTTCTTTTTTTCCAAGAAATTATTTTTTTATTAGTTCAAATTAGAAACAAGCCTGCTTCACATGTCAATCGCTTCTCCCTCTCCCTCCCCTCCTCCTCCACTCCTCACCAACCCTCTATCTCATCCCCCCTCTGCTCCCCAGGGAGGGCAAGGCCCTCCATGGGGGTTCTCCAAAGTCTGTCATATCATCCTGGGCAGGGCCTAGGCCCTCCCCCATGTGTCCAGGCTGAGAGAGCATCCCTCCATGTGGGATGGGCACCAAAGCCCTTTCTTACTCCAGGGATAAATACCAATCCACTACCAGAGGCTGCATAGAGTACTAAGGCCTACTCACTGACATCTACGTTCAGGGGTCTGGATCAGTCCCATGCTGGACTCCCTGACATCAGTCTGGGGTCCATGTGCTCCCCATTGTTCAGGTCAGCTGATTCTGTGGGTTTCACCAGCCTGGTCTTGATCTCTTTGCTCATCAGTCCTCCCTCTCTGCAACTGGGTTCCAAAGTTCAGTTCAATGTTTAGCTGGGGGTGTCTGCCTCTGCTTCCATCAGCCACTGGATGAAAGCTCTAGCATATAAGGTAGTCATCAGTCTCATTATAGGGGAGGGACATTTAGGGTAGCTTCTCCACTATTGCTTAGATTGTCAGTTTGTGTCATCCTTGTAGATCTCTGGAAATCTCCCTAGTGCCAGATCTCTCCTCGAACCTATAATGGCTCCCTCTGATATGGTATCTCTCATCCTGTTCTCCTCTATTATTCCCCCTACAACCTTCCTGCTCCCCCATTTCCTCCTCTCCCCTCCTCTTCTCCCCCTCCCTTTCTCCCATCTCCCCCTCCTCTATTCCCATGCTCCCAATTAGCTCAGGAGATCCTGTCCCCTTCCCCTTCTCTGGGGCATGCATTCTTCTCTTAGAGTCCACCTTGTTTCCTAACTTCTTTGGTGAAGAGGATTGTAGGCTGGTAATCCTTTGTTCTATATCTAAAATTTATATATGAGTGAGTACATGCCATGTTTGTCTTTTTGTGACTGGGTTACCTCACTCAGGATGGTTTCTTCAAGTTCCATCCATTTGCCTTCGAATTTCAAGATTCCATTGCTTTTTTTCCACTGAGTAGTGCTCCACTGTGTAAATGTACACATTTTCTCCATCCATTCTTCAGTTGAGGGACATCTAGGTTCCTTCCAGGTTCTGGCTGTTACAAACAACGCTGCTATGAACATCGTTGAACATATGTCCTTGTTGTATGAATGTGCATTCTTTGGGTATATGCTAAATGCTTAACTCATTATCTCCAGTCTTTCTTTTGCTTTGTGGTCATTCAGTTCAAAATGCTTTCTGATTTCCATTGTTAGTTATTCTTTAACCCATGCATTGCTTAGAAATAAATTTTCCAGTTTACAACATACCTGTGCTCCTAACGTTCCTACTTGTCATTGAGACTTCAGGCTTAGCTCCTCTGTGATCAGAGAACATACCTCATGCAAATGCAATTCCCACTTCCTTTGCAGGTTTGTGTCAGAAACACCCACATGGGTCTGCCTAAGTTTCTTTAAGAATTTCACTTGACATTTAAAGCCATATTAATAGGCATATATATGTCGACTCGGAATTATTGCATCTTCCTATTAAACATCACCTCCCTTCTCTTTATTGTTCCTTCTTTCCTTCCTCCTTTCTTCCCTCTCCTTCCCTCTTCCTCTCTCTTTCCCTTCCTATTCTTTCTTTCTTTCTTTCTTTCTTTCTTTCTTTCTTTCTTTCTCTCTCAGTTCCTTATTATATTAATTTTTATTTTGTTCTTTGTGTTTATTTCTCATTTTTTCCTGTTTGCCTATTGTTTTTGTCACTTGTAGTTCATTTTAAATTTTGTTGTCTGTAATTTAGTTTAGTTCTTTTACAAATCAATTCCTGTCACCAATTTACAACTCCTGTTTTGCTTACAGTATTCTCAATGCTAGTTATTAACTCTAGGATGGTTATGGTTATTTTTTAAGGTCTGTACCCATTAACTCTGTGTGCATTTCATTTTTCTCCTGTGTTTCACTCATGTTGGCTTGTTTTTGTAAATACATGATTGTGTTAGACAAGTGCTTAGTAGCATTGCCTGATGAACTGTTTTAAGGTTTTTTTTTTATTATTAATCTGAAGTTCACACTGTAGCATTTAATTTGCTTCCAATAGGTATTGGTGAGAATGAAAAGCCCCTCCCCCTTCACCCAGTGTCACATCAGCCGTGCGCTAATCCAAGCCAAAGGAATTTATTAACAATCCACAGAACAGACTTCTTCCTCTTCTGTAGCATTTCTTCATCTTGATTTGTTTTCCAACTGTAAGCTTGAAATTAGATGATTCTCTGTAAATTCACAAAATGGGCTTAACATTTTAAAATGTTACTGCTCCTTGGATTTCAGTGTGGCAGTAACTGAATCTGTGCCCCCAAACCACCAGAATGTAAGGGAAATTTTCAGAAAATACTGATTAAAATTCTCCCCAAGGCCTGGGTCAAGGTGGTTGATCTCAGCCTCCATCATTTTTAGAGCAGATTTTCTTAGTCTAACAACCCCAGTCTCAAGAAGAGGCAGCCATTCAAGGTAAAGTGTACAGGTGTTGACTTTTGCACTATGGCCCAACAATGTTCCTTGAGTGTGACTAATTGGCATGGCTATTTTATGCAACTATTAATAGTAGCGTTTCTTAGGGGAAAGTTATTTTCTTACCTTAATTATAAAGACAAGTCAATTACCATTTGAGGATTAATACAATCTAAACTAAAATTTAGGTGCCTCAAAACTTTTTTTTTCTCCAATGTCCTTAAAGTTTCTGGCTCCATTGAAGGTCTCTCTGGGACTCTGATTATTTTAATTGCCTCATTGTATTTTAACAGGTTTCAAATCAGAGATACAGCTTCCCAGGAAAGCTTACTGCACAATTGTGTATGGATTCATGGGTCAGAGGTCTACAACCAAGTCTGTAATATTTCCTCATTTAGTATCTGTGAGAAGCAGCTGCAAATGTAAGAATGGAGACGAAGAAGAATGCGAGACTGTAAGAATGCCTTCCTCAACACACATACCACCAACTACCACCATGAACAACAACAACAAAAACAGAACAGAAAAGATGACTATTGAAAATCAGAATAAATCCTGAAATGCTAGGAGACCTTGTTAAATTTGAACTTCAGCTGAGAACTTGGATGAAGAAGGTGAGGCTTCTGTACTTGTCAGCTTCAATAAGAGGGCCATGTTATCTTCCAGTTAATAAGCCACTAGACATGGAGTGAGGCAGCCAAGAAGTACCCAGAATGAGTGAGCATGACATTTCCAGACCCAAATGGTACAATCACAACAAAGCCCCTATATTGTCAGGGAATATTGTGGTGGTGGTGATGGGGGCTGAAGACTATAAGAGCCAGACGACCAAGATGCCTACTGCCAGTGTCTTCTACACAGGACAGGGAAACTGTACCCATAAAATGTCGACAATATGATCCATTAAACAAGACCTGTATGATGATAATTTCAGTTGATATGCCAACATGAATGTAGAAATTTCACAAAGTCCCATCTCCCACATAAAGGACCAGAGGTGATTAATGATGCTGAAAAAAGGGAGAGGAGCTCTTTCCAAGAACCAGCTTCCTGATGGGTTACTGAACCCCAAGCAGTCAGCATTAAACATGTGTACAGACCAGTAACGCCATGGATTAGTAGGTTATATACACATACATATATATGTATGTTACTCAGAAATTGTTACTGGAGTGTACACTGTGTTAACGTGATTTTCCCAGAGTCTAGCAGTACATCAGACATGGATAGAAGACAAAATGTACTTCAAAACTGATAAGTAAAGAAATGAGGGAAGAAAATCTTCCCTATAAATAGGGGCTGTTATTTTCATCCGTGTGATCATGATTAAAATGATTATCACCCAAAAGCAGTGACTCTAACCTCTTCCTCAATTTGATAACCCCACCATATGTACGATAGCTGAACCTGGTGTAACATGAAGTCATAGAGACACTGCACTTACAGGAAGCATTTTTCTTAGATATTATTTCTAAAGATAAACTAGGTATGATAGTGAACATTTAAAAAGCATTCCATCAGGATGTTTTGGAACACAGAATATGTTTTGTCGTTTTTATGATATACCATTGTTGTGGTCCAAGGCTCTGAATCAACCCAAGCAGACACAAGAGGTTGCCACAAGCCAAGATTTAATGCAGGACAGCACAAAGGAAAGGGAGAAGGGGAGGAGGCTGGCTGACAGATCAGGGCTGCAGAACAGAACTGAACTGAGACCTTGAATGTCAGCTGAAGCAAGTATTTAAGCACAAAAATCACAAACATTTGTTGCCAAGTTCCAGTTACAATTTTTACCAATCAAGATTTAGAGAGTAGGGGCTTCCTTGAATTTTCCATCTTTGTCAACCAATATACAATGCAAGCCTTTTAGTCCAACCAATCAGATTCATTTGTTCCTTCTGTTGTTAGGAACAGCCACAATATTCTTAGAGAACTAAAGCTTTATAATGACTATTTCCATGCTTAACAGAGGGAGTTGGTTAGCTATCAGAAGGTCCCAGCTGCCCTAGGGCACTTTATTTCATCCTACAGGTAAAATGGAGTCTGAAGTCAAAATGGCAGTACTTAAAACAAGGTGCTTTTTGCCTGTTTCCGACACTAATTTACAGTTAACAACTAATTCTTTAGTCATTTCCTTACAAAAGGATGATTGGAATGTGACTACATTTCCTGGTAACCTGTCATGTTAGCTTCTGAGCATCCCCTAAAACACCCCTCCCATTTCCAGTGGGGATTTCCAAGTGGCTGGGGAGCCATTTGTAGCTTCCTCGGGCTGATTAATAGGTGAGCAGAAATTGTGCTAAGTCTGCTGAGCTGCTCACTTGAAAATCATTGATTTTATGTAACAAAAACTGCTTATTCAGGTATCTCTGGTCTCTGAGTAACCTGCCTACTTGTAGTAATCACTAACATAGTTTGCTTCCTCCCCGAAAGGGGTGATTAATTTGATACTAGGAGGGGATATGTATACAGGATGTTTCCACATTGAATCATAAATTTGGGTTCTTGAAGATTTTGAAAAGTCTGAGGAGAACATACATTTCTGTGAAGTTTGCACTCATGTTTTGATATTCAAATATGAATTCTCAAAGTCTGAAAATTCTGTAGAGAGGACAGAGATAAATCTGAGAGAAGTGTGATTAATTGGCTCAAGTAGTTTGTTAAAGCACGGGATGGGATTTATAGAAGACTTCCATGTTGTGTATATGCACACATGAGCCCAAGTGTGTACGTGTATGCATGCTTACTTACCTGTGCACGCTTGGAGATCAGACGTCTAATGTTGCCCACTATCACTCTCCACTATCTTCTTTGATGGGACTTGATTTTACTGTCTCCTTCTGCTGGCTGGTCACACAGTTCTGAGATCCACCTGTCTCTCCCTCTCACCCAGGCCTGGCATTGCAGTGCGGGCCACTGTAAACGGCTTCTGTGTGAACAGTGAGAATCCAAATTTGGATTCTCATGCTTGCGTAACATCTATTGAGCTACCTCCTTGGCCTAATAAGCAAATATTTTAATTTTAGTTTCAATTTGATTAATGACTCTTTCTGGGTCCTGACAGACAAGTTCAAGAAACCATCGCCAAAGAAAAAAAATGTGGTTGCTAAGTAGAACAGGCAGTGAGAGATCTTCCAGTGTGTAGGTAAAAGATCAAGTAGAACCAGAGCGATGTGAGAAAGGAAACTGCTCTAGGTGGTCCAGCGTGTACTGTTACCTTACATGCTGACAGACTGTTTACATGAAAACTTCCATATTAATGTACATAAGAACAGAAATGCACACATTTGTTCAAGGGACAGATATGGGATAACAGCTGCTAGCTGAACTCAAGTCTGAAGGATGAATTCCAGATGGCTAAATTTGAGGAAACATCTAATGAAAGACTCCTATACTCACTTGCCTTGGACACCTCAATAATTTGGGGAGTTATCCATAATATTTGTCTTCCCCTACAATGTGTTTTAAACTTAGCAGAGTAGGTTTGTCAAATTGCTGCCGTGGATGAGCTAGCCAGGGCTCTGCTGGAGAGCTTGCCCTGGTGGTGACAAGGAAGGAAAGCTGGCAGGCTGACCAACACAGCTACTACCCAGGCCCTGAACCAGGGCTATGAGTTGGCCCACCCCAACATCCACCTCATCTGTGAACTCTGGAGCACAGACTTGCAGACCCAAAGCTGCAGGATCTCTGTGACACAAGGCAACAACAGGATATCTGAGAGGAGTCCCATTGAGGGCCCAGTACGGAAGGTATAGCAGAAGTCGGCGGCCTCGAACCAGACCAATGACTTATAGCCATGAATACTTACAAGCAAGGATGTATGTATGGACCAAAGGGTATAGTGTGTGACTCAGTGTGTCACACTACAGCTTTCACCATGAGACTTTTGTTTGTTTTTTTGTTTTTGTTTTTCCCCTTAAAATTTATTTTTGGGGGTGAGGAGGGAGGCCATGAGGGCAGAGGATGGATATGAAAGATGAGGAGATGAATGGGTTCGAATGCGTGATGTGAATCCACAAAGAATCTACAGAAAGTTTTTTAATTAAAATGGTCATGCCACATCTCTACTAAGAGCTCTCATTGACTTCTTTTTATATAGGGTATTTACTTTTTAATTTTATTTTACATTCCAACCAAAGTTCTCTTCCCTACCCCTCTTTCCACCCTCCCCAAGCCCGCACCTCCCCTCAGCACCACCCCTGAGTCCACTCCTCCTCAAAGGTAAGGGTTCCCACGAAGAATCAACAAACACTGGCACATTAAGTTTGGGCAGGACCAAGCCCCTCTCCCATGCATTAAGACTGAGCATGGCATCCTACCATAAGGAATGAGTTCCAGAAAGCTAGCTCATGAAGCAGGGTTAGATCTTGCTCCTTCTGCCATGGGCCCCTCAGATAGTCCAAGCTTTACAACTGTCTCCTACATGTGGAAGGCCTAGTTCTAGTTGTCTTCCCCAAGTTGTGCAGTGGTTAGCAGCAGTGCTGTGTGTTGGGACTGCTACCAGAGCATGGAATTACTCATGATCACAATGTGCCTGGTGTGTTATAAATTGTTAAATCAAGTCCAGATACTGTAGGAAGAAAGAGCATGGAGTTGACACCAGGAGAGACTTTTCAGAGCCAATCTGACCCTAACCAGGCTTGTGACTTCTAAAGAAATCACTTCACCTAGATAGCTTTCAATTTCTTTTTGAGTAAAATGAAAGAATCTAATCAATTGGATTCTCTCAGGGGGTCCGCTGCTCGGACTTCCCGTGAATGATGCTCTGCACTCTGCCCTTGGAGACGGGAAGTGTCCTCTCATTATCCAAAGGTACAGAGGAGTAACCAGCCTGAGACGCACGCTGGATAAGAAGCTGTGTCCAGCTCTGATTATGATTTAGTCAGAGGACCCTGATTGCTGCTGTGAGGACTCGTCATTCCCACCCTGCAATCGAAAGACTTGTAAACAGACACACATGTGGTCTGAAAAAACGCAGATATTGTAATAACTGTCCAGGAACCGCCCAGCCAGAAAACACATGCTATTTCCCCTCAGTCAGACCAACTTGGCATTCTGAGTACAAGCTCACAGGGGAGGGGCTGGGCCTCTCCATGCAGGAACTGGAGTCGGAGGCTTCCCCTGCTGCCTGCAGGGAGAGACCATTAGGAATGCCTCTCCGTGCCTGGTTTCCTGAGGTATCTGACGTTAGACACTGGGCCTGGAGCAGCCTGAGCACATCTCACCCGCAGATCTGCAGGAATCAGGATGCAGGCCAAATACAGCAGCACGAGGGACATGCTGGATGACGATGACACCACCATAAGCCTGTATTCTGGAGCTTCCACTGTCACCAGACGTGCAGAGCCCAGACACTCAGGTACTTTCCCTGTCTTCTAGATCCTAAGCAGACCAGAGCCCTGGAGAAATTCTTGCGATGAGGCACTTTTTCTAGGCATGTCCAAGGCAGCAGGAGGGGCGGGGGAATCTTCCCGTGAGGGGTAACTGCACTTTCCACAACTTGTCTGCAGGCATGAAACATTTGAAAATGGAAATTCACACAGGGATCTGTTCTCTAACATTCTATCTCTGGTTTAGCGGTTTGCAGGGAGGGGATATGGATTTTCCGATTAGGTATAGCAGGGAAAGATGGGATTGCCTATACCTTAAAGCAACATCTGTTTCCCTTTCCTTTCTCACTGCCGGCTTGGTGTTGCCCATGCAGATTGGCACCTGTGATGTGATTTAGAAATTTAGGTTAATAAAAATGACCTTCTCCGTGGGGTGGGGGGTTGCAGATTTGAACTCTTGACTTTAAGAGAGAGATTTCCAAGCAGGCTAATTAACTCAGATATTTATTAGAATTTCTGCATCTTGAACTGCAAGACCTTGGAGAAGTCATGTTAGCATCAGGTGTTGGTTTTATCCTCTATGATATCAAAGGCAACTGAAGCAAATCCTTCCTAATGTGTCCCCTTAGGTCTGAAATTCTGAGATTTGGTAACCTGGAGAGCTAAAATTCCTAGTCCTCCACCCCACCCCAAGCCCTTTCTTTTGGTGTGGAGGTTGAAAGTAGGGTCTTCCTCAGGATAGCAACAGAATAACACTGAGTTACAATGTAGAACTCCTTTTAATCAGTGTGAGACAGTATCTCACAAAGCTGCCGACTGTCATCAAATTTGCAACCTTATATCTGTCACTCCAGTAGCCAGATATAAGCGTGTGCACCATCATATTCTCCCCCCCGAATTGCTCTATTGATTTCAGACTATTGACATGATTGCATCATATTTAGAAGACATTTGATTTAGTTTATATCTGACTATTGTCTTTACTATTATTTGTCTTATGATAGAGTAGCATTTTCCTGTTCCACTCATTTTTATAATTCACACAAGTAGATGGGGTCATTGCTTGGTTGGTCTAAAGCAGACACATGACTTGGTTCTAGAGCAAAAACTCCACTCTATATTACAGATAGATAGCAAGCTGTAAGTATGTTCAGGCTCTGATACCAAGTAGTTCACTTACCATGGCGTGATCTTAGTGTCTTAGGGCTTTGGTGCTCTGATACCAAGTAGTTCACTTACCATGGCGTGATCTTAGTGTCTTGGGGCTTTGGTTTCATTGTTTATATAGCATTAATGATTGGAGGTGGGCATTAATGCACAGTCTGGACCTGAGATTACTTTAAGTACCTTCTGCACATTTGTTCATATTAACTTTAGCTAGCAGTGCACAGAAGTAACACAACTTTTCTGCAAGACAACTAAGAGTATAAAGAATGACAAAGACATACACTCTGAAAATGTTTCAACATGCCATCCTTTGCAAATTCCTAGAGTGTTCTGCTTAACACTTTTGTGTCAGTCTCAATCAGCAGTACCCACTCCCTGGCTGTGTCTTCAAGACATTTACTTGGCCTTGTGACCAGATCCAGGATTTCTTCACTTCTGTGAATTGGGACACATTTTTGTTGAACTGTTCTCTCTTGTATCAAATAGCTTTCAGGGTTCCTCCTTTTCCTCCATAAAGCCATTTCATACACCTTCTGTTTATAAATGTTTGTCCATCTGAGGTCTACTGATTTGGTTGTTGGCTTTCCCACTAAACTACGCAGAGAGCTGTTTAAAGGATATTGGGGATTTCCAGCTCCCTTGACCTGGAGCTACGTGGTTACAAGAGGGAGGATAGATGCTGGAGGATGTGGGTGATGCTTCAGGCAGGGATGGAAAGGCCTTTCCTCAGCCATTCTCATGAACAATCAGCTCACAGGGCCGTGGTCTCAAGAGGACCATGTGCGATTTTGTTTTTCACCTTTGCCTAGAGATGGGCTAATGACCTGTATAAGAAGGAACACTGTGTACAAATAAGTACCTCAAGATTAAAGGGTGGAGACAGAGGTGGGGCAAGATGAAACACTTGGTACAACATTTGGCAAGCTCTTTGAAAGAAACAGAAATTGGAACAGAGGCAGAGAAGGTTACAAGGAAGTGACTCAGAGTCAAACATCTGGAAAAGGTTTCCTTAGCCTGCCTGTGTGACATGTTGATTTCACCTTGTGATATGCCAGTATTTCTTAAGAAAACATATCTGATACACCTTTGCCGTAGAAACAGCGGTAGAAATATTATTTCTGTTTTCTGGCAACTTCAGATTTATTATGATGCTGTGACAAACTATGAGTGGGTATGTTTTAACTGTTTCATTTGAACTAACAGGAATAAACATTGCTGGTCTTGGGAATTTTCACATGATTCATATAACGAACATACTTGTGTAAAAATACCAAACAGTTAAGATGACAGAAAGTCAAAAATAAAAGAAATAACCATACACACAATTTCCACAAATTCAGATCAGGTGAGCAAAGGACTGGCCACACAGTGACAAATCTGATAGATCCTTGGCCATGAGCTCTGAGGGAAGCTGCTTCTCAACTTAGCTGCATATAATAACATGCTGCCTTGGAGCGCGTGCAGGAGACTAAAGGGGGCTAAAGGAGACCCAGAAAGATCTGGAGAGAGCAGGCATTGCATTGAGTTGATATTAGGACTTTCTGTATTCTGAAGAAGCAGGAGTAGGAGTGTCAGACTTGAGAGAAACTTAAAAAAAAGAAACATGAGGGGGACTTTAAGGAACTCTGTATTCAGAGACCCGTGTGCAGTAAGCATGGCTGAGGTGCTGAGCTGAGGGGTGGCTGTGAGGACCAGGTCTGGAGAGCTAAGGAGGATCTTTTAGGCCGTCTGAAGTGTTATAGTTCTGTCCTGTCTTCAAAAGGAAATCAGTTCAAAAGATACAGACAGTCAAATGATGTGTTCTTAGAAGTATCTCTACATCATGCTGGGATAGGCTGAAGGACAATCCACAGACCTGGATGAGCCAATGCCTCATGCTATCAGTACTCCAGGTAGAGGTAAGGATCCTCAACTGAAGAAGAATTAGAAGGAGGAGGAGAGAATTGGATGGATACTGAGGGGAGGAGCTTCAAGCATTGGGTTGGGTCACCTGTGAGACAGGAATGAGATGTCAGTCTACTGTCAGATGTAGTGTGGGAGGTGCTGTCATGATTTGCAATGGAAACTGCAGGAAGAACCATAGCTGAGGAACTCAGCCTTGAGTCCAAGGGTCTACAAGGCGAAAACGCATTTAGAATTGTATAAAGACACATATATTTGAAGAATATGGGTTCTGGGTAAGAATTTGGGTTTAATATATATGGAGTTATCAGTGTCCTGATAAGTGAATAAATCATTTAAGTGATATGAATAGAAATTAAAAATTTGTATACTAGGGATAAATACTGATCCACTGCCAGAGGCCCCATAGATTGCCCAGACCTCCAAACTGACATACTCGCTCAGAAGCCCTCTCCACATGGAGGGATGCTCTCCCAGCCTAGACACACAGGGGAGGGTCTAGGCCCTGCTCCAAATGATATGACAGACTTTGAGGATCCCCTATGGAAGGCCTCGCCCTCCCTGGGGAGCAGCTAAAGGGGTTGGGGGTGGGGGAGCAGGAGAGGAGGGGATAGAGAGGCAACTGGGATTTACATGTAAAAGAAGCTTGTTTCTAATAAAAGATGAAAAAATAAATTAAAAATTGATATGAGCGAATCAGATCACCAAGGGAGGGCATATATAGCCAGAAATCTAGAAAACAAATGGACTGTTGTTTCATTTGATTGACAGGAGAGAATTCAGGGAGGATCAGACACACGGCCTGGAGAAAAAGAGGGCCCAATGGGAGGCTACTAGGAAGCAGCAGCAGAAAAGGTAGAAGGACTCTGGCAGAAAGAGGCCTCTGGAACATTCGGAGAGGAAACTCAAAATAGTGGGGAAGGTGATGGCCAGCGATCGTGGGGTGTTAACAATAACAGATCACTTAAGTGGAGACTGAAGAGTTTATTATTTCAACAATGAGAAAAATAGAAGCTTATTTATGATCATAATCATCATTTTTGAAAGTTTGAAACTCTCTACATAGCTGAGAATGGTCCTCAACTGAAAACTCATCCTATCTCAACCACACAAGAGGCAGGGTCACTGCTGTGTGCCACCATGCTGGTCAGGGTATTGGTTATTTTATAGCAATCTATCAAAAATGGGCTGATGAAGAAATGGAGCTATCTATGATTTTTTTCCCCATTTTTTCTCTTCTTTGAAGAAAATATAGTATGCTATTGCAAGGTACCTCAAGATTGAGCCAGGGCAGTTTTAATTTAATTTTTAAGATGGGAGAGATTCTAACCACACTGTAAATTGAGAAGAAGCCAATGATGGCCAATTCACCTGAACAACCTCGAGGGTAGGGGGATGATCTCACAGAAGGAACAAGATTCCCATTGAAGTGGGAATGCTATTCACCAAAAGGATAAGAAAAAAAAACACTTTTATTAATGATACTTTGAAAAACACATTTAAAAATCAATTCAAGGTCTGCTTTGCCCTGCCCTTATTATTGCAATATTGTTGAAACGTTTTTCTAGCTTTTTAGTTTCATTTTTGCACATCTTCATTGAAGCACTAAGGTACAAGTCACATGTGCATGGCCTCATACATCTTTGAAGCATATCCACTAATTATTAAACACCATGGTAGGCACGCACTGGGGAGATCCTACTTTTTTATTTTTGAGGCAATTGAAACAGCAGAATAATCAAAATCAACGGTCAAAAGAAAAGTACTTAGTGTTGTTGAAGACAGCTTGGAGACCACAGAAGGCACTCAGAGCTGAGTGGATGACTCTTTGCTTTGTTCAACCCAAGAAAAGGTGTCAATTTTCCCACATCTACAAAGCTCAGCCTGGATTTGCCAGAAGAGTTAGCTGGAGCACTAGCTGACCTTTCCACTCCGTGGATGACTGTATGAAAGTGACATC